CTGGCCCCTGTCCCTTATTACGGCAGTCACTACAATTGTTTTTGGGCATCCGGCCTGAGCCGGTGACATGGCCAAGGTGACATGGCCACTTTAGGGGATAGAGAAGGTCTTCCACTTGGTCCCCAACCAGCAGATAAAGGTTTAGCCCCAGGGCCCCCACTTCAAGTCGCTTACCCTCCTGGCTCAGCAAGGGCAGTGTGGGCAACACATTCTTGCCCGCGCCCTGCAGGCAAGGGAAGATGGTGTCCAGCATCTCCACTCCTCAGCCGGCTCTTGCTGGGTCCTCAACTGGTCTTTTGTCTTCCTTCTGGAACTTATACAAAAGTGGTTTTCCCACCCGCCAGTCCTCTCTTCCCAGACCTTTGGATAATCCTTAAACATACAAATTACCAAATATTGAAAATTTTCTCTCTTAAATGTCTCCTCGCTGTCCCTCCCCCTGCCCTGGCTCTCCCTTGAGCGGCTTCCACCGCGGGAAAACCAGAGCTGAAAAGCACCGGAATGAGCGCGCGCAAAGCCTTGCTAGCACTCCGCACCACAGAGAGGCAAGAGCCTCAGCCGCGAGGGACGGGGCCAACCTAGGGGAGGGAGGGGCGCGTTGCTAGGATGCAACAAAGGGTCGCTCCATTGCTCGGGTCTTGGCCCCGCCCCCTAAAATGAGCCCCCAGGTTGTCCCAGTGATTTCAGCAGCTCCAGATAGCGAGGTTGGGAATGTATTTTAACGTTGTTTCCTTCCCCTCTTACCCTGGGCAGCAAAGAAACTTGGTCCTTTTTGTAATCACCTTATACAAATCAGGGACTACCTTTTGCCCTAGTAGTGATGGACATTTGAATCTCCGGATCTGTTTGAGGGTTTCAATTTGAGCTGGAATTTGTTTCCCAGTTTGGGTTTTTCCTGGGCCCCCCCTCCGAGGAAAAGGAGTGCTGGAGGATTGAGGAGGGAGTTGACTTTTTTTTAGTCATTTGACTTCAAATTCAAAACAGTTTGTGCACTCAAAACCGTATTTTAAATATAATACCAAGTAGCAGGAATACTGTAGCTCATATATAGTCATAATAAAAGGGGATAAGTGCCCACTGTGTAAATTATAGAATAACATATATGCTTTAAATGGATCTTAATATCAACAATTAAATATAAGTTCCCTGACTTTGTAAAAGATCATCTCCAATCAAAATACTGGCATACAAACAGAATAAATTCTTACCAAGCAATATGAACAAAAACCATGTTCCCAAAGCCTAATGCAGTGGAAAGGTCAGTGGGCTGCATGTCTGCAGACCGTCCCTCCTCCATGGATTCCTAGCTGTGTAGTCACCAAATTAAAGAATTAGAACGAGCCCTAGCTAGCTTGGCTCAGTGGATAGAGCGTTGGCCTGAGGACTGAAGGGTCCTGGGCTTGATTCTGCTCAAGTGTACATGCCTACGTTGCAGCCCAATCCCCCGTAGGGGGAGGCAGCCAATCATTGATTCTCTCTCATCACTGATGTTTCTCTTTTTCCCTCTCCCTTCCTCTCTGAAATCAATAAAAATATATTTTTTAAAAAATAGAATGAGAACATCAAGAAAAGCCCAGAATAAGTAGAAGGAAGGAAATAAAGATTAGAGCAGAAATAAATGAGAGACTAAAAAGTCAATATAAAAAAAAATCAATGAAACCAGGAGATGGTTCTTTGAAAAAATAAACAAGATTGATGAACTTTTAGCCAAACTCATCAAGAAACAAAGAGGACCCAAATAAATAAAATCAAAAACAAAAGTGGTGAAGTAATAACTGACACCACAGAAATACAAAGGATTGTAAGAAAATACTATGAACAACTATATGGCAACAAGCTGGACAATGTGGACAAAATGGACAAATTCCTAAAAAAAATACAACCTCCCAAAACTGAATCAGAAAGAATCAGAAAATCTAAATAGGCCAATAAAAACTGAGGAAATAGAAGCAGTAATCACAAAATTCCCAGCAAGCAAAAGCCCTGGTCCAGACGGCTTCACAGGCAAGTTTTACCAAACATTCAAAGAACTAACACCTGTACTCTTCAAACTATTCCCAAAAATCCAAGAGGAAGGAACACCTCCAAGGTCTTTGTATGAGGCCAGCATTATCCGAATTCCAAAACCAGATAAAGACACTACAAAGAAAGAGAATTATAGGCCAATATCCCTGATGAACATAAATGCTAAAATCCTCAACAAAATATTAGCAAATCACATCCAGCAATATATGAAAAAGATAAAATATCATGATCAAGTGGGATTTATTCAAGGGATGTAAGGCTGGTACAATATTCACAAATCACAAGACAGGACGTGGGGACAAGGACACATATGAAAAATCTTAATCAATAAAAAATATATTAAAGTGAAAAAAAAGAAGAAATAAAAGGCATACAAATTGGAAAGGAGGAAGTAAAACTCATTATTTGCAGATGACATGATATTGTACATAGAAAACTCTAAAGACTCCACCAAAAAACTACTACATTTAAAAAATGACTTTTGCAACATAGCAGGATACAAAATAAACACCAAAAAAAATCAATGGCTTTTTAATATACGAATAATTAATTCTCAAAAAGAGAAACTAAACAATCCCATTTACCAATGTAACAAAAAATTTAAGATACTTAGGAATAAATTTAACCAAGGAGGTAAAAGACTTGTACTCAGAAAACTAAGGACAAAAGAGATAGAGGAAGAAATAAACAAGTGGAAGAAGAGATAGAGTAAGAAATAAACAAGTGGAAGAATATACTGTGTTCCTGGATTGATAGAATTAACATCATTAAAATGTCCATACTGCCCAAGGCAATCTACAGATTCAATGCAATCCCTATTAAAATACCAACAGCATATTTCACAGACCTAGAACAAATACTCCAAAATGTTATATGGACTTAAAAAAGACCCCCCAAGAGTTGCAGCAATCTTGAGAGAAAAGAACAAAGTTGGAGGAATCATGATACCAGATATCAAGTTATACTACAAAGCCACCATAATCAGAACAGCCTGGCACTGAGACAAGAGCAGGCATAAAGAACAATGAAACAGAACACAGACCCCAGAAATTGATCCAAGCCATTACACTCAAGTAATATTTGACAAAGGAGGCAAAAACATACAATGGAATCAAGACAGTTTCTTCAATAAATGGTGTAGGAAAATTGGACAGATACATACAAAAAAAAACTAGACCACCAAGGTACATCATACACAAGAATAAACTCAAAATAGATAAAAGTAATCTAAATGTAAGTCTGGAAACCATAAAAATCCTAAAAGAAAGCATGGGCAGCAAAATCTCAGACATGTCTTGTAGCAATATGTTTACAGATACATCTCCTAGGGCAAAGGAAACTAAACAGACATTTTCTCCTCTTTTAAGGAGAAAATAAACAAATGGGACTACATCAAAACAAAAAGCTTCTACACAGCAAAAGAAACCATCAATAAAATGAAAAGGGAGCCCACTGTATGGGAGAACATATTTGGCAATGATACATCTGATAAAGCATTAATATCCAAAGTATATAATGAACTCATACAACTTAACAAAAAGAAGACAAACAATCCAATTTAAAAAATGGGCAAAGGACCTAAATATAAATATAAAACTTTTAAAAGAGGACATACAAAGGGCCATACAGAAGGCCAAGAGAAACATGAAAACATGCTCAAAGTCACTGATTATTTGAGAAATGCAAATTAAAACAACAATGAGGTAACATCTTACACCTGTCAGAATGG